CCACAAATGGACGACCGTTCCTGACGCTCGTATTCATTCATTTGCTAAGCAAATTATGAAGCGAACATATGCAGCCGTATCTTCGGTAGCGGTGATTGGTAAGATGCCTACGGGAAACTCGTCCGAAATCGATTTACAAGTCACTGAGAACGGAGGCTTTTTCTTCGCAGGATTTTGACCGTTTCACTCCGTTCTTTCGCCATTTCCCCACTATACAGCGCCCTACTAGCATTTTAGGCTAAGTAGGAAACCATCGTGCCAACTGCCTTTAAGTGCTATAAATTGGTATGATACCACTATCATTCTCACGATGCGGTGCAATCCATTTGTAATGGTCGGTGCTCGCACTGGAACACTCAAACGACTATTAAAAAATCATCAAGTGACACTTTTACTGCTAGCAACTCTCTTTGGAGGTTTTTGTGTGGATACGTGTGTTGTGTGCCTGCCATGAAATTCATAGTGCACAGGGCACTGAGCGGTAGCAGACTTTGGGGGAGAAGACTCATGAGATGAGGGGCGCTTCTGCGGCATATTCGACGGGATGCTCAGGTTCCCGCGTAGTGGAGGAATTTTATTGGGCGAAATATACGGACAAGACGTGAGTGGGTACCGCGTGATATACACGAAAACGTGCGTCAGCCAAGATGGAGACCGGCAGATGTTTGACTACGGAATATGGTTCTACCTGAAGAGCAACCTGGACAGATCGGGCCAAAGATGGAGTGCAGGTCAAGACTTAAGGAACACAAACCTGTGCTTGGACCTGCCCATGGTCAATTTGTGAGGATTTAGTCTTGCAGGTCTGTCGTCTCGTGCCTATCGGATCTGATGCGTCAAACTGCTCACTCTCAGGTAGCACCTGAAATACCATCACTTCCGAAAAGCTGATCAAGGCCGCCTGTCAACATTTTCCTTTATTCCGAAAGATAACTTCATACTATGGATTCGGCCTCACAGGATCTTTAGAAGCATCTATGGAGACTTGATTCCAAATTCCTCGTAATGCACGGGAACTACTTGCTGGTGGTCTTCTTCACTTTGACGCACGCTTCAAGTCATCTGCAATATGCCTGATGGGTTTGAGGTGAAGCCTTTACTCGGTCATTTTGTCACCCGGATGCTGGCCTTGGGTGCCGGAACCTAGATTTCACGTACTTCTATGTTTGCTTAGGGTCGTTTCTTACTGATGTGGAAAACAGTTCTTCCAGGCATTTTTTTTATCTGCTTACACCATGTTTCGGTGCGTAGGTCAAGGGAAAGCTCAAAGTAATGCGACAGAAAATTCCGATTTTATTTGCCTTGTTTCAAGTAATTTTCCGCAGCTGTATCTACAGATGTCAATGATGTACAGAGCAGTGGAAGTATGGGTAACCTTGCCCTAGGCTTACCGTCTTCACCGCCGGAGTATGTGGTTCATTTTTGAGAGAAGGTTGTCGGTGCCTCTGAGCTCCAGTCCCCATTTATAACCGGCGAAAATACTAATAGTATACTGAGAGTGCCCGAGGTTTCTGGATGGAAATCGAGCGAATGTTCGCTATGCCAGAACTGGAGCAGAACTGTTGAGCTTATTAGGATGTTTTTGAAGCTGGCAAGATTTCCGCTCGATATTAGGTTTGAACAGGCGGAGATGGTGTAGTGACAAGTGGGGCGCTCACCATTCGCGCGGTCCCGGGTTCGAATCCCGGGTCTCCCGCCCAGGCCAACCAAGCCTTCTACCCTCCGGGGACGGTGAATTGGTACCAGATTCGTCTGGGAGGATAAAACACTGACTTGTACATCGGCTGGCCACCGCAAGTCATTGTATAGGCCACATCGCATTCAATAAGCCACTACGATTCTGAATGGAAGTAGAATGCGTGCCGCATCCCACAAAGGGATTGATCAACGGCGAAGACTTTATCCTTTTTTATCCTTTATTAGGTTTGAACAAAGTTGTGTTCATCGGAAGTTGGGAAATTTGAGATCAGCAGAATGTATGTGCGCTATTTCTGGAATGCAGCGGTGATGCAAACTTAGCGACTGAGTTGATGAACTTCGTAGTAGTGCCTTTCTATATCCTCGAGCTGTGGGAGTTCGTTAGATTGTACCGTCTGGATTAATGCATTCACATATCGTTTTGGATCCAAGTCGTATCTGGAAGACATTATTGTTGGTCACAAGCTGTAATACACTCCTCTCGCACGACATGCCCGACCGATCTTCGTAACGCTGTGGGACTGGTATATATGGATTACGATATCAGAGCACGCGGCATGAACGATAGAGTATAACCGCCATTTAGTTCCAGGCAATATGTTGATGACACCGTAAGTCATTGACGTGTCTTGATAGTTCGGGTTTCCGGAAACGGGACTATCCTATTGCCAGACAACAGAATTTCTTGCCTCTGGGAGAAGTGTGAGAGCAGCGAGTAGTCAATCGCTCCAAGTAAACACAGCTCTGTGGAACAAGCACTGTGCCATCTTCGGAAGAAATGTCGCCGCAGGCATCATGGAAGATGCCGACGAATTCCGTTTTGACGGCCCTAAGGGATAATATATGCCTCATCAAGCTGTCATCGAAACGAATAGTGCTACTACTGCAATCCGGATAGTCTTGACGCGCCGAGTCATTACAAAGCAACACAGCCTAATGGTTGTCTGTATCTAAAACCGTCAGTAGTACTTCCGCGACCTTGCGGATGCACATTCCGTGCGATTATCACGTACCTTCTTATCTCACGTGGAGGAAATTCTCACCATATCCGTCTTCAACGTGACCAGAAGGACGCTACAAGATTGCTGTGGTTGAAGGACGTTTCGCGTCGTCGACACCAGATATCTAGATTCTTCGCTAGGTTTAGCTGTTGTGTGCAGAATGGACGTTATCACCGGTACTTCTTGAATACTTCATAGGCGACACTTGACGAAGACTCGAGAAATATTCGCGGGAGATATCGCCAATATCTAATGTGGGACAATGTCCTCACTGGAGCATCGGAAACTGTGCATGGAGGAGCGAAAGAGCTTGCAAGTTCGAAAATTCATGAGTAACAATTCTCGCACCAAGCATGTCCCATCGAAAGATCGTATGAAGGTCGCTCCCGACACTGTCAAGTTGTCTTATCATTCTTATGGAAATCGGTGTCATTCCTGCAAGGATAGCGCTTCTATATCATGCATTGTTGTTTTGCAGCAACTCACGGAAAGCGCCGGATCCATGTCTTACGGGCATCGCTCGAACTTATGATGCCCATCAGTGTATTGATTCGACTGTTATGTGCGTTAAGAGATTCCTTCAGGGTCTTTGGAGGCGCAAGAGAGATTAGTGAACCCTAAGCGACGAAACTTTGCTCGATGAACGAAATCGTAACAGTATAGATGGATCAGACTGTCGTGTACCAAGATTACGATCAAATATACAAAACGACACTTGAAAATGAGTGTTACTTTTTTGCAGATGAATCGAAATGTTCCATTGCTGCAGTATGAAGGTACCGTGCACAAGCAGATTCTGGTATTCGATGTGCATATCGTCATCTCTTGTGGCCAGAGATTGATATTGAACGAGACTACTGGTCTGTAGTTGAAACTAATTGTGTGCTTGTTCATTGGTGCGTGTGCATTAGCTCAGTTCATCTACAAGAATTGAGGCTTTCCCTTCGAAGCCGAGTTGTTTTTCTCTGATTCGAACATAGAGCTATTGGATTCAGTCTAGCGATCGCTCGAAAATCTTTGTTGTCAACGATGTTCCGGAGATTGTTTCCGTTTTGGTACGTTTGCCTATAGGCCCAACATTCCATACTTTATTCTACGTAATGGAAGTCCAATTCCAGGGACATTGTTTACAGACTTTCGGTTCCGCACTTCCACGGCGAAACATTCTGCGTGGATGGCTACCGTAATAAGTCTACACTGTCTTCCAATGGCCAAAACAATGATGTGATTCAAATTTCGACCTTGCATCAGTTCTTGGGAAATAAGAGCTAGGTATAGATGCGAAACTACTGTGACGTACTTCTCTTTCATATCGGCAATCGTTCCTTTGAAAAGTACTTTAACTAACCGGTACAACGTACTAGATGTATTACCAGATTATCGTTTCACTTCATTATCGCGACATGTGGGATTCCAAAGTATCAACAAAGTCCGGATGAACAAGTCGATGAAGTGTACCGCTTGCTCAAGGTGAAGCTGTAATCTCATGATAACATCAGGCGAAGGCTGCAGTCATTCAATTGTAGAGACGTTTACTCGCTGATTCTCGTTATATTTGGTGTGAGGTACACGCATGATCCAGAAGAAGGATCATCGACGATACCAGCACGATTTGCAGCAGGTGTCAACATTTACTGTCGATGGTTATTATCCAAAGGCACAATGACTTCACCACGCTTAGGGGCAATCATGTACTGCTCACTCCGTTCTGAGAATTTCACGCCTTGAATTACCAGGACAGTGAAGTCAGTTCTTTATCGCTGTGTAATCTGTAAACGGCATCAAGGTCGTCCTTACAGATACCCCACCGCTCCAGATTTACCGGCCGAAAGAGTCCTTAGATCTCGACCATTCCAACATACGGGTCAAGACTATTTCGGTCCGCTAAACATTACCGCTACCGAGTCAGGTAGTAGCAAAGTTTAGGTTTGCCTGCTTACATGTATGGCATCTCCGAGCTTTACATCTTGAACTCGTTCTCGACAATACAGCACATGAGTTTTTACTTAGCCTTTCGTCGCTTTATTGCTCGAAGAGGAACACCAGATCTTCTTTTGAGCGATAATGCGCCGACTTTCAAGTTAGGGGAAGAAATAGTCATAAATGAACTCGTTAGAATTGCTAGCGATACAATCGTTCTGTACAGATCTCAACTGCTGGAAACACCTTGATGGACCGCTCGAGATGCATCCCACAAGAGTTACCGCAGGAACATCCTTAAAAACACCTAATAGGACACAACAGTCAAGATATAACTTCCCACTAATCCCATTAGTCTAAGCTTAATTATCCTCTGATCACCTCTTGATTACCTTCTAATTGTAGTTCCCTCTAGTAGTCAAATTTGGCAAGTTACTCGCAGCGCTTGCATTACCGCAATATCCTGTGGCGCTGCCAGCGCATCGCCTGAGGACCCAATAAGAATTGCGTAAGGCAACGAGCCAATGGCTCCATATCGATCGATGCCAACCATTCGCCCTACTGACATCACCATGAACGGTCGCTCTTGCCCTTATGCTTAATCCTTATCACTCTTATCTGTTCTTCTTCCCCATCATTCTCCTTGCGTGTAGTTCAATCTTTTTCTTGTGTGTGATTCACTCATACTAATACCATCTATCTTTAGGTTGTTCCCTCTAGTTCAATCAACTGCTATCAAGTTACTAACCATGCCAAGGAAGAAGAGGTCGACGTGCAAGAAGAAGACGCCAACGACATCTCAGTCGACAGCAACACCCACATTGATGTCAATGCCGTTGGAGGAAGGAGAACAGCTGCCAGACGCACCAGCGCCTGTGCAGCAAATCACCGCCGAGTATGCGCAGCAATTACCGCTTGAAACCCAGGTAGAGGAGCAATTGGATCCCTATAACGAAACGTAAGCATAGAGCCAGCTCGCGCCTTTGTTCGAATTGTTAGCCGCCGCGGGCAACGTGGACAACCAAACCCGACGCGCGATTTTGCGCCGATTATCCAGATCAGGGTCAGGGAGCGATGATAGGGTAGCTGAGGACCGTGCCAGGCGGAACCGTTCAAATCAGTTTCAGGTAACTGAAGTGAGGCGATAGACCAGTCTGTCCCTCCAGAGGAGGAGGCACCGCTAGCCACGGGCAATTAGCCTTTACTACCATTCTCTTTTTAGGAGAAAGTGAAGCTTTGCTTCGTCCAGCAGAATAAAGAGCGCTTCAGCATCAGTCCCTTCGCAGACGGCGCACCAACCGAACTTCACCAATCAGGACTTCTGCCATTGGAGTTAACTTCAACCCGCGAGAGCAGAATATCGTGGACTACTCTCGGATCATTCGTAACGTAGGTAACGCTATGCCCCGTGTGCATGACGAGCACCTACGAGAGTTCAAGAGCCTCTGCGAAAAGATGGACCCTCCGGTCCCATTGAATCACGTGCGTGCTCCAATTCGCAGAAATCCTGCTCCATATCTTTCCTGGTGATATTTCATTTAGCTGGCTTAACAGAATAACTGTTGGAGGGATTTATCGCTATGCGGCTTCGCTCGCATTTCCCGCTTTGTTGTTTATCTGATCGATGATATTTTCCTTACCAGGGAAGGTCGTCAGGTCGAAGTGGCCATTCGTAATGAGATGTAGCTCAATAGAGGTGGTTTTGGACGCTGATTCTCTCGAATCTGCCTTCGAAATTTGCAGAACGATTCACTGAACGGAGTTATGAAGGTTTGTTAGAATTAAAATGAAGGAAAACAGAGTCGAGCGCGGTTGCCAGCCACTTCGCTTGAATAGCCGCAGAGGCAGCACATAGCGTGCAATGGTGCGGCTGGTGTTATGTAACGCGGCTTGCTTTCGGGCGGCATGCCATGAAGCGGTTCGGGATTTCTGGAAAGAACTTGATTTGCTTTTGTGGGGATGTCTCTTTAAAACTAGTAAAAGCACATCAAAACGCGCAAATGGGTGCATATATTCGTGTTCAGGGAGCAAAACTACCTTTGGGGTGAGGTTTCTAGCCAGATGTGAGGTTTTGACAGAACTTTGAAAAGTGCGGTAGCAATTGGTCGAAGGATGGTCACCAATAGTTCTAGGGCAAGTCTCTTGTGGATTGCTTGTCTTTTTGGGACATTTTTTTCGATTGCTGTTTAGATACCTGAAATATCTTTATGTCTTATAACATGAGAGGACGAGCTTTTGTGCAAGAGAACTGTATCCATGTTCCATATTGATAGGTGTTATCTTTATTCTATTAGAACTAACTCCATGATGCATCACTTTTGTCGCAGTTCAGGGTCCCAAATGGGCAGATTTGCTAGAAACCTCTACCTAGGCGTAGTTCGCCCCCATAAACACGAATATGGCACTCGCTCAGCGCGAAAACTTCTGCACTGCGCGCCAAGGGCACCTGTACATCCTTAAACTCCCTGGATCATAAGGCACTAAGTGCGCCAGTAAGCGAATACAAACTGCTTTTCAGGCCAAGTCAAGGAGAGCGCTAATGTATTAGTGACGCCACAACCATTTTTTGGCAGCATCGTATTGTCACAAGAAGCAATAAAAGTTTAACTACAGGGATCCGATCCCACGACTGTTGCGTGTAATAGGCGGTGGAAAACAAGAGCTCCACAAGCTCCGTTCAGAAAAATCGTTCCTGGTCAAAATTTTCGATAGGCAGGTTCGAGATCAGTCATCCAGCCACGTCTATGATCTACATCATTTACAAATGGCCACTTGCGACCCTGACGACCTCCTAAGTTAGAAAATGTTCATGAATCATTTCCCATTTGAGGTGGAATCACTTTCCTCAACATAGACGATGTTTAAGTTCATGCTTATTATACTTTTGACGGGCGGCACAATCAGAGCACAAGATTGGCTTAAAATTAACTTTCTGACTCATTAATTTTGTGACTCACATAGTTAGCATATAAAAACCCCCTCAGTGCACATTATGTCCGGTTTTGTACCACGGAATAAAGCTTCGACTCGCTTCGACCATATGGCGACCACGACCGAGACGAACTTGTGATCGACAGGACCTGCACGGATACCGCCAGTTCCATACCACCTTCCCTCCGTCAACTGCAGTATCACCTTACCCTCGTCCACTGCAGTATCCCTTCCCTTCCCTTACTGCAGTATCCCTTCCCTTCGTCCATCTGCAGTACAGCCCTCCATTCGCCATCGACAACATCGCAGGTCCACTCGTCCATCTGCAAAGCCACATTCCTAGCATCCACCTACGTCGTCTCGTCAGCATCTGCAGCTTTCTACGTCGCCTGCTGAGCATCTCCATCAAATAATGGACAGTTCCACGACTATTCGACGTCAAATCGGAAAGGTCACTCGTCAAGTTGCCCGATGTATTGCCGCTGTCTACGACGTCTTCAACGACTACGAATTGAGCCTCGACAACCCACGTCTCAACGATGTCACGTCAGACGACCTCCCGATCTTCACAAAAGACGTCCACCTAGCCCGCTCCAACCTCCAACCTCCTACGTTACTATGATCGACTCGAACGCCTTCATCAGCAGTGGCAAGCGATTATTTCTGCCGATCCAAAGGAGGAAGCCACCTTCACGACTTACGTCGAAAAATACGGAGACTATCGCAGCAATCTTCACCAAGCAGTCGCAGTGCTCGAGAAAATGGATTCCGCGGTCGATCAACTTCATCAGGAGTTCAAGAGACGAGAAATGCCGCTTCCCGTACCGACGCCTGCTACGTCAGATGCATCATCACATGACTAATCTCGACAACTTTAAAGCAGCAGATATCATCACAGCCACTCCTGCACAGCCTCAACAGCCGATGGTCAACAGCGATCCAGTACGACATGCCGCAGACAGCTCATCCAACCAGATGTTCAACTTCGTGGATGCATCTCTTCTCAGCAAATCGACC